TTTGGCAAATAAAAATTCATCTGTGAGAGTAAGCAACCTCAATTCCAAGAAAATATTCGAGTTTTCCCAAATATTTAATATCAAACTTCATATGAAAGTAATCTTTCAATTTTGTTATGGTATTTGAATCACTTCCTATTATAACATTGGCATCAACATAGATAAGAACAATAACATTATCGGATTGCCTTCTTTTTAGAAACATGGATGAATCAACATTACTCTGAAAAAACCCTATATTAATGAGAGCTTGACTTAACTTTGCAAACCATGGCCTGGGAGACTGTTTAAGCCCATAGATTGCTTTACTGAGCCTGCAAGCTAAAGTTTTGTTGCCTTCTTGAGGACAATCGGGAGGAAGTTTCATGTAAAATTCTTCGTCCAAATCTCAGTATAAGAATGCATTTTTTACATCCGGTTGATATAAAGGCCAGCCATTATTAACAACAATAGAAAGCAAAACCCTCACAGTATTCATTTTAACCACAGGAGCAAATGTTTCCTTGTAGTCAACACCATAGGTTTCGGTGAATCCCTTTGCAATAAGTCTCAACTTGTATCTCTCAATAGTTCCATTACTTTTGTATTTCGTTTTATAAACCCATTTGCATCCAACTGGGTTGTTTTTTTTCAGAAGACTAACGACATCCCAAGTATGATTTTTCTTTAAAGCAACAAGTTCCTCATTCATAACAGTTCTCTATATTGCATTTGAATTAGCTTCCTTGAAGCTAGTGGGTTCTATAGTTGAGGAAATTTTGTCAAAAAAACACTATCTTTAGAAGATAACTTCTTAAAACCCATTTGTTTTTCAATGGGTTAACGAATTTTGGAATTGCTTTCATTGACATGATATGTATAGTAATCCTTTAAACTTAGAGGAAGTTGACTAATATGACTAGATCGTCTTGCTTGAAAGTCTTGAGGAGGAATTATTTTCCCTTGATATTCGTTTGAATGAACCTCCTCATTGGAGTCTTGTGGTGTTTCAAGAATAGATTCTTGAGGTATTTCCTGATTAGGTGTAGTACTCTCAATAATTTTGACTCTGGAATTAACGCCATCCATTCATGAGGTCTTGGGTAGAGATTGCCTTGTTAATCTCCCCCTAAGGCTTATCAGATTGAAAATAAAGAATTTGTTCATTGAATTCAATATTTCGATAAACATACATTCGTTTAGTTTTTGGGTCATAGCATTTGTAACCCTTTTTGGTAGGTGAATATTCCATGAATATACATTTGGTGGAGCATTTAACAAGTTTGTCTCTATGATTTATGATAAATGCACAAAGCATTCAAAACCATATATCTTTAAATGATGAACGTAGGAGAGCAACCATGTAACACTTCATAGGGGCTTCTATTATCCAATATTCTAGTCGGCAGTCGATTTATATGATGACAAGCAGTAAAAATACCCTTAAACGACTATAATTTAGGAACATTTATTTGAAAAAGTAAGGCACATGTTACTTCAAGAAGATGCTTATTTTTTATTTCAGCAATTCCATTTTACTGATGAGTTTCTACACATGACATCTGATGAATGATCCCATGATCCATCAAATATCAGAAAAAAAATTTATTTGTATATTTTGTGCCATTATCAGTTATGAGAATTTTCACCTTAGCATCAAATTGTTTTTTTGTCACGGCATGGAATTCCTTAAAGGAAATGAAGACATCACTCTTAAACTTCAATAGATAAATTAAAACATGACAAGTTCTATCATCGATAAAGCATATATCTAAAACTAAAAAAAGAATCCATTGCAGCAGGTCCCCATAAGTCTGAGTGAATGATATCAAAGTTATTTTTATTGACTATATCAGAATTTCTGTTTGTTTAGCATACAGATAGTCTTCACAAGATGCAAATGATGCATCAATACTAGAGAACACATACTTCAAAATTCTATCAGATGGGTGTCACAATCAGCAATGCCATGTATTGTCCTCGGATTGCACTTTTCTTGCAAAAATCTTTTTTGAAGCTTGATCCAATAGGTACAACCCATGTGATTGGTTACCCTCACTAATCTTCTTCCTAGATACCCGATCCTAAAAAGCAACTTTATCAACAGAAAAAATAGTTAAGCAATTATAGGATTTTGTGATTTAACTAACTGACAAAAGATTCGAAGGAAAAGAAAGAATATATAAAACTTCAGATGGCTTGCCTTTAGAAAAAAGACTCATATTTCCTACTCCACAAACTGACACCATAGTCCCGTTGGCCAATGACACCATACTCTTTGAAGACATGTGTTCAAACCCTTCGAGTCCTTCATAATAACCAGTCATATGATATGTAGCTCCAGTATCAACAATTCAAGAATGACAATTAAAAGAGGATATGTGGGCAGAAAAATTACCTTGAGTAGTAAACAATATCTTAGACGAAGAAGCAATGTTCCCTTTTCCAATGTTTGAACTGAAATTTTTATCCCCCATGTAGAAGAAAAGACTTAGAGGTTACCTTATTTCGAGCAAAGGAAATGGGCAACAATGATGATTTGATACCAATGAACCACTTTGTAGAAGAAAGTGCACGGTCAACTACTGATTTTGGACTGATAACAAACAAATGCTTGACAAGGTCAATGGCAGAAGTTCAATTGCGGACCTTCAGATGTTTTGAAGTGGAGATTTTTAAAGCAAGGGTCTATTGATGCAAAGGCGAAGATCTTTGCTTGACGTCAACACCTTTTGATGTTGATACAAAACTCCTTGAAGAAGCTTTTGCAAGATTTGCTTGCAAAATAATAGGTGTAATTGCATTTTTTGATGCAAAGATTTATGGAGAAGCTTTTGCAAGATTTTTTTGCAAAATAATTATAAGCAACAGGTGCAATTGCGAGCCTTCAATAGGTGCAGCAGGTGCAAACGATGCGCGACCTAACCAACAACGCGCAACCTAATTTCAAAAAGGACTAGGTGGATGAAGACTGTGGACAACAACCACAACCACCTTTGTTGCCTTCATGGAGCTTTTGACGGAGATGTAACCAAAGCAATAGGAAGCTTTTGCTGAGATGCAATATAATTTTTGCAGAGATGCATAGGCCTTGCGTCTCATGTAGATTTGGAAGCAACAATAATAAAAGGGTTTGAAAGGAGATTTGGAGAGATTTTGACGCTGCTACAACGATTTGGAAGGCAAAGATTTATGGGAGCACCAAGAGCACAAATCTTGCAAGGCAAATTTTTTGTAAGTACCAAGGTTTGGAAGAGCACAAAAATTTCAAGGCAAGTTTTAGAAGCACCAAGATTTGGAAGCACTAGCAATAAGAGGAATTGACGTTGCTACAAAGATTTAGAATCGCACAAATCTTGCAAGGAAAATTTTGGTTGCACCAAGATTTGGAAGTACCAACAATAAATAAAAGCTTGTCACGAAGAGAAAGATAAGGGAAAAGCCCAAAAAACTTACAAATGAAATCAAGAGCAGATATAGAGTGTATTGGGAATCGAACTCTTGCCTAAATTTGAAAAAAGAGCAAGACTTGTATATTTTGAAGGGAACATCGAAAGCTTTTGGATGTCGTGGATGATCAATTGCTTTGATACCATGTAGAAAAAATTTAAATTGAGAAGAAAGAAAGAGGAGAAAAAAGAAGAAAACACAACTTTACGTAGTCCGGTCTATTAGACCTACATTCACAGTTGAAGGGCTATTCTGTCGTGCCCATTATTTCATTCTCCAGTCTTAATTAGAAGTTACAAGATAACAACTAAATAAAAACTGATTCCCCAAATATCTCTTGAATATATCACCAACTTATATTCTTCACATTTAGTTACCCAAATTATGGGATATGGATAACTATATCATATGTGTACCATATCAAGTAGCTAGCTGTACACAATTATTTCAACACTCCCCCTCAAGTTGGTACGCTAATATCTATTGAGCTCAACTTGCTTAATGTTTTTAGAAAGTGTACTTTGCTTGTGGCCTTTGTGAGGATATCAACAAGTTGATTTTTGCTTTTGACAAATAGAGTAGTAATTTCTTTGGCTTGAACTTTGTCTATATATATATATATATGTAAGTCTAAAAAATGCCTATATGCGAATTGCTACAGTGTTTCAACGGCTTTGCCTAAAAATTGCCATGGACCTACAGCAGTGGCGGTCCCCGTATATTTTTTTGCGTCAATTTTATGTGAAAAAAATCACCATCCAAAAAAATTGGACGGCGCCGAGCCTATAGGAGAAAGTATTGTTCATTTTCGCCCATAGGCATTTTGTAGTCTGTTCATATGTGCCCTACTCAACTGGTTTACATCCCTAACTGCAAACTATACAGACAAGCCACACAAGGCCAAACATCCTATGAGGGAGAAATGGAGAAGAAGAAGGTTTTCATACCAAGGCTCAATTCAATTAAGTTGGTAGCATCAAACAATTTCTCCATATCCCCTTTTGAGTAAGACCGGGATCTCATTGTGATTCTATTTAACCCCTTTCATTCCTCTTGTAAACAAGAGATAGACAGAGGGGATCAGTCTAGAGGTGGTTGAAAGTGAGTTGCTTGTCGAGGACCATGAGCCGAGCAAACACTTAACACCTACTTGGGGCTAGGTGTGACCAATCCAAGGAGGCCGTGGTGGTTGTGTCGTACCTCACAGGTTGGGCGCCTAAATGATGATATCCAATCTGTTGCGGTAATAGTAGAATTGATGGCCTGTTTTGCAATTGGAGAACTCAACATTTCCTATATCCCGTAGTCTTCTGTACCTCAACTTGATGGACCAAACCATATTCGGTTCCTCTCATGAGATAAGGTCTCTTAAGAATAGCATCTAAGTGATGGGCCCTTTTGAAAACCCCAGGGAATTCTATAGATAAGCGGAGAGGTCCCAGCCATCCGTTTGTCCAAAAGTTAGGAAATTCCCCATATGTCGAACGGCATCGGTTATCCTCATAAACGGAGAATCATATGCATATATACCTCTGAAAAAATTACATACCCTTGGATTATGTGCCTCACTCTTTTTTTGGGCGAATCAGTGGGGGTTAGGGTCCCCTACCCATTTTTATTTGAAAAATATGGAAAGATTACAAGCTCATCAATCTACAACCCTGTCATATGGAATACCAGCAGCATCATATTGGGTGAAGATAACCTCCCTCCATAAGTGAGATGGTTCTGTGGTGCATCTCCACCACCATTTGGTAAGGAAAGTCGTGTTACCCTGCCTCTCTTAGGTGCATATACTTTTTTCAACCTGACCAGATGGGACTTCTATTGTGTCTCTCTCCCCTACCATAGGAACTTCTTCATCAAGCATTCCCAGGAATTTGTATTGGCCGTGTTCTTGAACACGGACCCCAAATAGATTGGTAAATTGGCCAATTGTAGATTTGGTAAGTGTAATTCTGCTTCCCATGGATAGAAATTTGGTCCTCCATATCCAATTTTCGCTGGAGCCTGTCCACCGCTCAATTCCATATGGACTTCAGCGACCTGCCAATTACCAGAGGAAGGGTGAGGTACTTACATGGCAATTTATCAACATAACATCCCACAAATCTGGCCAAGTGTTGCACCTTTGCCTCTAGGCAAGCAATGCCAATATGGCTGGTCTTACACATGTCTACATATTGTCCAAAAACCACTTCAAAACACTTAAGGAAGAGCCACAAATAGACATCTATTATGTTGCACATCCTAAATGAGACACCATCAGTTCTATTGTAGATGGTTTGAGTTTTGAACCTCGTCAAGAGTTCCTTTGTATTCACTAACTCAATCATCTTGTCAAGGGATTATATTATTATGGCAAACAGGAAGGGAGAGAGCCGATCTCCTTGTCTAGTGCCTCTCGACATTCTGAAGAAGCTCTTCCCATGGCCATCAACAAGGACAGAGAAGTACGTCGAGGAAAAACAACTCTTGATCCATTTTCCACCAAAGCCCATGAACTCCATAATTTTCATGAGATAGGACTACTCCATCCTGTCTAGGCCTATTCTAGATCCAGTTTGTAAATAATTCAAGCAATGCTCTTTCCCTTGAGTGAACACACTCATGTGCAAGTGGGACTCTGTCCAGTGATCTGTCAATCCTCAAACAAGGTAGATTGAGGCAAAGAAATGACATTGCCGAGAACTCTTAGTGTGGCCACAACGACGCTTGTGAGGCCCAATTCTTTCCACTTTGAATTGTATATAATGTTTCTTGCTTAATTGTAAAAAAATAACCCTGATGAAAGATCGGTGGCTACCATGCTTGACAAGTAAACAAGAAAGATGAGAGATGGTAGTTCAAAATTTTTCTAAGGCAAACATGATAACAACCATATGGGCCCTGTTCACCCATTTTCTTTTCAGGTAAAGTTTTCTATCTCAAGTCCATAAAAAACTAAATAAAAAAAAATCATAATTTTGCACATTCCATGTGGTCAATGAATTTCATGTGGAGGCCCAATATATCTAATGTTGCATAGATATCCTCACAATTTTGGTGCGTATCATCGCCACTTACAAATCTATGAACCATCCCACCAACTTCAATGGTGCTCTCACCTGGCTTCTTTTTGAAACCCCCGTGTTTCATGACTCTTCGAACATTTGCAACCTCATCCCACATCCCAACTTCCGCATAAATATTCGAAATGATCACATAATTCCCGCTTCGACTTGGCTCTATTTCTAAGAGCTTCTTCTTCACTTTCTCTGCAACTTCAATGTTAGCATGGATGCTACAGGCACTAAGCAAAGTGCGCCATACAATGGCATCAGCATCAATGGGCATCGACTCGATGAACTCATATGCATCATGGAGCATGCCCCCCCGACATAAGATGTCAACCATAGCCCCGTAATGGGTCATCATGGGCTTAATGCCATGCACATGCATCATAACATCAAAGTATTCACGCCCTTTGCTTAGTAAGCCGGCATGGCTACATGCACATAGGACCCCAAGGAAAGTGACATAATTTGGCTTGATTGGTGTGCTTCCCATCTTCTCAAATAGCTCTAAAGCATCCATGGTGTGCCCGTGCATGGCCATGCCAAGGATCATGGCACTGTATGTCCATACATTCCTCTCCTCCATGATATCGAATACGCCTTTCGCTTTTCCTAAATCCCCACATTTCGAGTACATATCAATCAAAGCCGTCCCCAAACGAACAGTCAATTTGAGCCTTTTCTCTCTCATGAGCTCGTGAGCCTGCCTTCCGATACTCAAGTTCCCCAATCTTGTACACCCACAAAGCAAGCTCACCATTGTGGCCTCATCAGCTTCAAAACCAAAGCTCCCCATTTCCTCAAAAAGCTTAATTGCCTTTACATAGCACCCATTCTGAACAAAACCGGAGATCATGGCATTCCAAGAAACCACAGTTCTATGTGCTATTCCATCAAACACAAAATTAGCACTGTCTCTCTCTCCACAACAAGAGTAGAAATGAATAAGTGTGTTAAGAACATAAATATCCAAATCAAACCCATATTTTAAAATTTGAGAATGGATTTGTCTCCCCTCTCTGTGAGCCAAAACACGAGCACACGCCTTCAAAACAAAAGGAAAGGTGAGGTTGTTGGGTGTTAAGCCTCTGAGCTTTACTTGGGCATAAACCAAGATGCCTTCTTTCGGTGAACAGCTTTGTGAATAAGCTCGAATCAGGGTGTTCCATGAGCACATTGTCTGGTTATTGCTTTGATAGAGAACAAAACGAGCATAACCCAAGTCTCCAAATGGAGAGAGAGAGCAAAATTTCAAAAGCTCGCTTAATAGAAAGCCATCTTGGTATTGGCCAGTAGTCAGCAAGCAAGCATGGATTTGCTTTAGCTCTTCCATTCCTCTGCAATTCTTCAATAGATTCAGCCATTGAAGTTTTCTAGAGAGACAAAATGAATGGAAATAGTAGAGCTTTTTTGTGGGAAAAATTAGATGCGTTGGACTAGCCGTTATGTGGAATTTGAAACGCCAAGTATAGAACGGGAGACGAACCATGTAAGCCGTTACAATCATCAAACCAATTTACGAAGGAAATATATCGTGGATGTCAAAATCATTATTGACCGTGGGATTCAAAATTAGGTAATTGAAGATGTATTTTATTGGGTGCGGTTTGTATAGAGCCTAGGCTCTAAACAATCAAATTAGAACCTACCTTAAAATAGTATCGACAAATGTAGTTTTAATACCGGAAATCTTTGAACTAGCCTTAAAATATATTTTCATCTTTATTTATAAAGTTTTAAGCTTCAAAAAGAGTATGGATCAATAGATCTATGAAATCTGGAAAATTGGCGGTCCAAAAATACATTACAAAATATACTGTTTCCAAAACTTGAATCCATTTTTTTTCTCATGTCCATGTATCTTGATGTTAAGATGATCAATTTGAGGATATTTGAGCATCAAAACAACCTCTAGTAGTGAAATTTTTGAGATAGGCTATAATTTGATTGTTTAGAGCCTCGGCTCTATATAAATTTTTTCTATTATTATTTATTTATAAAGTTCAAAATAAAATAAAATGAATTTTAATTAAAACTGATTGGGACCTCATTGTACCAAAAAAAAAATAGTCTATAGCATACAATCTAAATGTTTTAAATTTGTAAATATTACAAACAAAGCTAGTTACTTTAAAAATGTCACTTCACTCAAATACTTCCGTAAGTATTTTATTGAAATATGTTTGGTGAATAAGATAGGACATTTTTTATAATTTTCCACCTTATTGGCCCAGGCCAATTGACTTGAATAACCCCTAGTTGTCCATAATCCCAGTCCGAAATGTGTTTTTAAATTAAAACTCTTTTGTTCTGGGTTTGATACCTAAAATAAGCATCGTATCGATGTCATTTGGTCCAGTGGCTGGAGGTAAATGATGAAATTACCCCTTTCGATACTATTTTTTTTCCTCAAATATCTTGTTCCGGGTTTGAAGTCCTAAACATAAAAGGGCAATTTGGTTCCTTGGCCCACTAGTCTTATGGGACATCAAAATATATAACTTGTTCCGGATTGCAAACCTTGATCAGGGGTGACTTAAGCATTTTCTCGAAACCCACGAGAGGTGCTAATTAAGTTAAATGTTTATGTTAACATGACGATTTTATTGATAAATTGGTTGATTTCACTACCTAATAATTTTTTGAGACGGTATTTTAACCATTTATAGTGATTATAAGCCAACTAAGTCGGTTGGTATCTCAAAAATAAGGTTTATAGCCATATAGCAAATAATAAAAAAAAAAACATAACTTTATTGTTTTTGGGTAAGACAATGGATGAGCAGACGTCTACCCCATTTTCATTAATAAGAATTGAGGAAATACAGATCACAACTTTAGTATTAGAAAAAGATGTTGCCTTCTTAGCGAGAGTATGTGCTACCATTTTGGCCTTTTTATAGATGAAGGAAAACATAGCCTTATTTTCTATAATGAATATCATTTATTTTATTTTTTTACTTTGTTTTTTTTTTTTACAAATATTCTTTACTTTATTTATAAAATCTACTCAAAAGAAATTACATCAGAGGAGATAGCTAAAGTGGACAAAGAGGCCCCCCTTTAGCCAGAAAGTCAACCAAAGAATTTGCCTCTTGAAAGACACGACAAAAGAAATTGAAAGTGGAACCACCAGATCCATAATCTGCAACCAGCTAGACCTTAATTTCCATGGAATACACTGCTACTTCTTGTACCAATTAATTGTGTTCATTGAATTTCCTTCAATAATGTAACTATTCCCGATGTTTTTAGAGATAAAAATTTTTAACCCTTGCAACGAAGCCAATAACTCCGATCGGTTAGCCGTGGCTATACCAATAGGCTTAGCATATGAAAAGATGACCTCTCCAAAACAGTATCGTACCACACCCCCAATGCCTGCCAAACTTGGATTGCCTAGAGAGCTCCCATCAAAATTTAACTTAAATCCCCCACTCTCTAGTGCCACCCAAATACTCCTTGGTCTCATCTTTACTCTACCTATCAAAAACAAATTTGGCAAATTCAAAAGAACATCTGATTGTGAAAGCCCCCAACCCTCCTTAGTAATTGAGGGCCAAGACCAAATGGACAGTTTGACTTTACTCAACAGTCTATCTAAAGATAAACTTTCCTTCAAAAGTCTGTCTATTTCTTTCTTTCCATAGTTCCCATAGAGTAGCCCCTATCTCTATTTGCCACACCAAGATACCCCGGGAAGGTAAATGATTAAAAGCTAACTGTGATACTAAACCATCACAGATTGGGGTAGTAAAGCATGAACCCCAAGTAGCTCAAATAACCAGTACCAAATTCTTGCGGTAACGTGACAATGGTTGAGAAGATGCTCCCCAGATTCCTCATCTGCTTTACACATCAAACATATGTTAGGTAAAATTTACCCCTCTTAATAAAATTATCCACCGTCAGAATCTTATTTTGGATAGCTAACTATAAAAACACCTGTACCTTATGGGGAATATGTCATTTCCACACTTTGACTGTGGCAGATAAAGACCATCTCCATCTATCGTGAGAAAAAAACCTATAACAATACTTCATCAAAAATACCCCATCATACTCAACTTCCCAAATCACTTGATCTATTGCCCATTAGGAAATATAAACCGAGTCCAAGATACCCATCAAATCGTTTCATTGAAGATAAATATCTTCACTCAGCTTATTATATAGGAAATTAATACTTCAAGTAACACGATTACCTCTCACTTTAACCATATCAGAAACCTTAACAAAAAGTTCCGGATAAGTAAACTTCAAAGGGGCATCACCTATCCACTTATGATGTCAGAAAGAGATGTTGTTAGCACAACCAATATTCCAACGAAAATAACTCACATTCATCGGCCTACATATATAAATAAACGTCCACAAAGAAAACATCTCTCTATTTCTACCCCCTCCTAACTACATTCTCTGCCTATCCAGACCATATTTCGAAAGCAAAAACCTGAAACCAAAGCTGATCTGTATACTGAAAACTTCTCCAACACCACTTACAAAGCAAATCCTCATTCATATATTTTATCTTTCTAATGCCAAGACCACCTTCACTCTTAGGGGTACAGACACAATCCACCTAAGTAAGTGATACTTCCTTTTGTCTCCAAAAGATCCCCACAAAAATTACACATCATTCTCCCAATTTTCTTTATCAAGTAGATTGGTAAAGTAACTAAACAAGAACTTAGCAATGTAACCCTACCACCCATAGACAGGTATTTTGGTTTCCAAATATCCAACTTCACTTGGACTCTCTCTAACACCTTATCCTAAACCGTTATAGAGTGCTTAGAATTTGAGATTGACATTCCCAGATAAATAAAGGGGAAAGAGCCCACCAAGCAACCCAACAAATTTGCCAAACATTGAATCAAGGTCGAAGAACAGTTAATACCTATCATTGAGGTCTTATGGAAATTGACCTTCAAATCCAAAGCCACCTCACGGCAATCTAAAAATCGAGCAATGTTTTTCACTTGCGTCTCATTTGCTTCACAAAAAATAAGCGTATCACCTGCATATTGCAAATGAGAAACTCTGGACCCATCTCAACCACTTTAAAACTAGATAAATCCCAACAGCCTTCCACTTTATGAATCATCAGGCTAAAACATTCTGCATAGATAAAAAAAAGGAATGGTGACATGGGGTCCCCTTGGCGAAGACCCCTGGAAGCCTTAAAGAAACCAATAGGGCTTTCCTTAAAAATTATTGAGAAATGTGCAGAGGATAAACATCCAAAGATCCAATTCCTCCATTTAGCCCCAAAACCCATATTCTTAAGATTTTCTATAAGCAACCCCCATTCAACTCTGTCATAAGCTTTTCCATATCAAGTTTAATAATGACTCAAGGAATTCGACTTTCACTCTAGAATGAATACATTATTGAGCTACCAAAATATTATCAGTGATTTGACGATTCTGAATGAAAGCAGATTGAGTGTTAGAGATAAGAAAATGTAAGACTGACTTCAATCTTTCAGCCAAGACTTTTGTCACAATCTTGTAAAGACTGGTCAGAAGACTGATGGGCCTAATATCTGATAACTCTATTATCATTGATTTTTTAGGGATAAGAGGTATATAAGTGACATTAACCCCTTTGAATATCTCACCCCTAGTCATAAAAGCTCTAATCATCGCTAATAATTTAGACTTAATCACGTTCCAAAATCAATGGGAAAAAGAAAAAACGAAAATCATCTGGGCCTGGAGCCTTATCATTAGGTAGAGCAAAAACGGCACCTTTAAGTTCTTTCACGCTCCAAATTAGAACTCATCTCTACTGTCAAAACTTTAAAAGGGTATCCTTTCCAGTTTTGGAATAAACTTCACCTCTGTCGAAAAAGCCTAATTCAAGCTCCTCCCTTTTTACTTTATTATCACCCCATTTTACCACTAGTTCTATGTTCACATATATGGAGAGGAAAAGCTCCTGCCTTATGTAATAATAAAGGGTAAAAAAAGAAAGAAAAAAGAAACGGTGTACTAATACACGGGCCATAATTTTGCCACAATCTTTTGATATTCTCAATCTCGTTCCTCTCCTTTGATCTTCCACCTCTTGTTTTGTCTATTATGGCAACGTTTTGTCTCCAACCATGTGGGAAACCCAATCAAAAGTTTGAAGCCAAACTAGAACTAGCCAAGTCCTTAAAAAAAAAAAAAAAAAAGGAAAACTGTTAAAAGAAACTTATGTATACAGTTTGGACCTCAAAATTTGATGATGTACTATACTTGTATTAATAACTACATACTAATGAAGTTGAAGGGGAAATTCTATAAGACAGCTATGAGACTAGCTTCACTTTATGGAGTGGAATGTTAGCAGGTCAAAAAACAAGACACCCTTAGGATGTGTAGAGGTCAGATGAGGATATTAAGAAGGACGAGTGATAAGAAGGGATTGAATTCGAAATGAATACATTTGAGAGAACCCAAGTATGGCTCCACTAGGTGATAAGATGAGAGAAAATAGCATGTGAGTTGGCCATATGCAACGTAGATCGAGTATAACACCTACTAAAACTTGCAAGTTGGTTTAAGTGGAAGGCCAAAAAAAAAAAAAAGAGTAAGCCCAAAAAGATATAATTGGAAGTAGTGAAAAAATATATGACGACTTATGCCATCACTGAGGCAGAGTCTTTGATAAAGCAGAATAATGAATCAAAATTTATGGAGCCAACTCCAAATATTTAGAAAAAAAACTATGATGATGAATCCACTCGTACCGACCGATTTAAAAAACTGAAAATTTAAAAATTCACCTAAGTCTTCAAGAAATAATCATGCTCCAAGATTCAACAGACCACCTATTTTTTAGGAGATAATTCCTAGGTCTTTTGGAGAATAATTAAATAACAATCGTAGCATGTTCCTGTGGGCGCACACTGTATAGTACTCACTTCTGCCGCAAGAGCTTTCTAGGAGGATCTTGTGAAATTTTGACATCCATCTAATAATCACCAGATAAATTTGGTTTTGTTATTTCAAGTATTTCAACGCTTAGATCTTGCCATTCAATTCAAATTAAACTATTACTTTTTTCAAGCCAAAAATATATGGTGTATTTATTTTTTGCGAAGTTAGTGCTAAATGTCCAAAATTCAAGATCTCAACAAATATTCTTAAAGATAACGACACTCTTTGGGGACTTTTGCCCGAGGGAGCAAGTGGACAGTATGCTCCCGCTGTACCAAGAATCCTTTCAATATCTGTAGAGGAGGTCCTTACGTGGGAATAGACATCGACACATACAAAAGCATGTCCATGACTCTTCTCTCTCATCGTCCAAATCCATGTTTGCATGCTTTTCACCATTTGGAGCCTAGTCTCAGTGGTTCTCTCTCTCTCTCGATACTTCTTCAGGTCATGAAGCCCATCCATCTCTCTCTCTCGATGCTTCTTCACAAGTCATGATTCATACAATGAAGCTACTCGAAACCACCTCTTTCCCTCCCCATCTCTCTCTCTCTCAACATCACACAAATGAAGCTTCCCGAAAGTTGAAACAGCTTCTCTCTCTCTAAAGTTGAAACCTGAAAAGAGCCTCTCCTTCTCTCTCTCGGTATATATGTACATGTGCTTTAAGAGAACAACATTAAGAGGACTGCCCAGATCATCACCTTATAGACAGACACAGGAAAAACGCTTAACACTAATTTTATTTGCGCCTTTCTCTCACTTGAAGGGCATTTTCTTTAGGAACCTACACTTTCTCTCACAAAAGGGAGTCCCAACTTAGTTACTAAAGACATTTCAAATTTCAGGCACAAACATCACTGAGATTTTCAGTGAAGGTCAACAAAGATGTCACCCACTCTCTCTCTCACTACTTCTCTTCACACCTTCTCCAAAGCCTTAGATTTCTCAACTGATGGGGTTCGGAGAAAGAAGCCTCTTAAGATACTTGCTACTTTAAGGGAAAGCCCAAATCAAATTCCCAATAAAATGCTCCAAGATGATAGTATAACAAGAAGTAAATTGTTGAGATCAAGTCTGCTTTCTTTAGCAGGTGGGGTCTCTCTGGTTCAAAAAGCTTAAGCTGAACCAGAGAGCCCACAAGAAGCCTCATCAAGTAGGATGTCATATTCAAGGTTCTTAGAGTATTTAGACCAAGGAGATGTGAAAAAGGTTGATCTCTTCGAGAATGGAACAGTAGCCCTTGTTGAGATAGACAACCCTGTTCTCAACAAAATTCAAAGAGTTAAGAGTCCAGTTACCTGGTCTCCCTCAAGAATTGCTGAGAAAACTCAAGGAAAAAGAAGTAGATTTTGCAGCTCATCCACTTGAAATCAACATGACTGATGCCATTTTGAACCTCCTAGGAAATTTAGCATTTCCATTGCTTCTTTTGGGCTCTCTCTTTTTGAGAAGCTCACAATTGAACAATCCAGGAGGCCCCAATTTGCCGTTTGGGTTAGGAAGGTCTAAAGCAAAGTTTCAAATGGAACCTAACTCAGGGGTCACCTTCGATGATGTTGCAGGGGTTGATGAAGCTAAACAAGATTTTAGAGAGACAGTCGACTTCTTGAAGACCCCGGAAAAATTCTTGGTGATTGTAGCTAGACTACCCAAGGGAGTTTTACTCGCCGGTCCTCCGGGTACTGGAAAGACCCTTTTGGCTAAGGCCATAGCTGGAGAAGCTGGGTTGCCATTTTTCTCTCTCTCTGGATCTGAATTCATAGAGATGTTTGTTGGGTTGGAGCTTCTAGAGTGAGAGATCTCTTCAACAAGGCAAAGGCAAATGCACCTTGCTTGGTGTTCATTGATGAGATAGATGTGGAAGGGAGACAGAGGGGGACTGTAATTGGAGGAGGGAATGATGAGAGAGAACAGACTTTGAATCAATTGCTTACTGAGATGGATGGGTTCGATGGAGACACTGGAGTGATTGTTATTGCTGCAACCAACAGGCCAGAGATCTTCGATCAAGCTCTCCTTAGATCAGGAAGGTTCGACAGGCAGGTAGGAATTAATAACAATTTGCAAGTTAGGTTCTTTGTTTTCTGTTTTGGATATCATGATTTTCTACTGTGTCAATCACTATAAGCAAAATTCTGTGTGTTAGAGAGAGAGAGAGAGAGAGAGAGAGAGTGCGGTTGACGATTCGAACTTGTAAGTTTACTTAACGTAAAGTTTTCCTAGTAA